GGGTTTTTTTTTTTTTTTTTAAAGGTAGGGATGGCGGTCGTCTATGGAGGGAGCCGGCTTCTTCCAACGGCCACGAGGTGGTGCGGTAACACCGACAGTGAAAACAGAAACGACAATTTCCCCCACATTTCTCACCGGCTCTATTGGTTTTTATGGACCCCAACTTTTATTGTTGTCTAGTTCGCTCATGCTGGGGTATGTGAAAGCCGAGCCGAGTCACCTGCGGGCTCCGCGCCGAAACAGGTTCGGTATGTCGAGGAGAACTTGCCGCCGGCGTACCGAGCTCGGGAGCGGGTAGGTTGTTGGGCCAAGGCAGTCGGTCGGTGTACAGGAGTCCTTCTCGCAAGGTGTTGCAGGGTGGGTGGGTGCTGGGTGGGTGCTAAGGTCTACGAGTCAAGAACAGCGCTCACACGTAGGGTGGCTACCAAGGTACTCGTCCCCCTTCTGTTGGTTGTTAGAGCTACCTGAGACGCGTCTGTGCGTCAGAATATGTCGTGATCGATCTCAGTCTGAAACGCGTGTGCAAAATAGCCCCGTAAGAACGCTTAATTCGTAGCTGATCAGCTGCTTTGAACTGAATATCAGACATTCTACGTATTTAAGAAAACAGTTATTTCTTTGTAACTAAAGAGGTGGAAACTTCATGTTTGAAACAGCTCTTAAGGCTTTCTTAAAAATGAGAAAATCGGGCCAATTTTGGAAACAGTCAAAATACAGTAGTTTTAAAACTTGAGCGTTTATAAAGTTACGATTTCTTATGTCCTAACTTTATGATCAGGCTGAGCTTTGCTTTACCCACCCGCTTTGTGCACAGAATATTTTCTGATTTAATTTCCGATAGGCATAACGTTATATTGAGTTCATTTCACAAATTTTGGTATTATCAAGAGCAGAAATGGGCTGGCAAAGAATGCTCAGAACGGGAGCTTGGGGCTAGTGAAAAGGAGAAGATTATAGTACGTTACGTTGATTGTGTAGCTTTCTGTGAAGCATCCGGCCCTAGCCGCTGAGAAGGAAACCCAGGTTAGATGGACCTTTTGTCAACACTAGTATGACTGTTCGTCTGATGTTACGCCATCCGTTTACCTGCCCTTCGCTGTTAGAAAAAAACTAGGGAAATTTCTAGTTTTCAACAGTGAAGAATTAAAATGAGGTTTGCAACGCAAGCGTGAAGATGCAGTAAAGGCGAAAATGCAACGTCACGTCGACATTCTGAGGAAGTTTGTTTATGTGACGTTTTTAAAAACTGCTGATAAAGAGTTGTTGGAAGCTGACTATACGTGAAGCTGTCTGTAGTCTCTTTGTATAAGGGAACTCCTTGGCTGTGTGGCTAATTTTCTCAGAAATATAGTAGTTTTTAGGTTTATATTACCTCTTATTTCTTACTTTGTGATAGTCCTATCATTATTATATAATAGATTTTTTTAAAAACATTAGTTAATATGTGGAATCACTCAAGAGAATATTCAGTATTTAACGCCTTGGTTATCAATTTTCCTGCAACGTATAAGAACTAGTAATAAACATAATTCCTAAGTTGTTAAGGTTTACTTGTAATTGAAGTGGAGTCCTTTAGTAGGTCACCATTTTAACAATATTAAAGGTGCTTATTTTTAAGCACGTGTATGACAACGTATCCATATTGAGCTACAGTCTGGCTGAATTTGTTTGTAAACATGGGACACCTACCAAAAATGAAGCAAATTCAGCCAGTGTACCAAATACTCTCGGATATGATTATGCAGCTGACTGCATGCAGACAAGTTTTCATTTGTTGATTATTCTTGCTGGGTCAGACTTCTGGTGATATCTATCTTTCGAACTGATTCAGAGTATATCTCATAAAAGGCATTTACTCTCGAAACAGGTTTTTAAAATTTTGTTTCGTTAAAACTCGTTCTTCTATATGGAGGTGAATAGGATAGCTGGAAGATGAAACTTTATTCCACAATATTAACAGTAAAAATCACTAGAGTAGTTACAGAAAAAACAGCGTTTTCAACACGAAACAGAAAAATAATACGTGACGAAAAATAGAGGCAATCTAACAGTCCAGAAGAATTTTCAGTGTTTCGCATTTTAGCTGTTTTATCATATTGCCATGATATATAGCAAACAAACCTTAAAAAAGTAACTATGTTGATTACTTTTTAAACAATTAGCTTTTTTGCAGTTGCAGATGCCCTTTTCTCCTAAAACTGTAGTTTCATTTTACAGACTGGAAGAACATTATGTTAAAAAATGAAATTATAAATTAGTTATGCGATTAATACCTCCTCCACTTCCCCTGCAACAAGCAGTGTACATGACATTCAGTACATAAATCATAGATTAATTCAGTTTTGAGGTCCCTTTTGTAGTTCATTTTAATTAGCTTTGGGCTTACTAGTGAATCAAACAAGGCAGTCCTGGCATATGTCTAATATTTTGCTGCTCGTAGACAGAATGTAGCATTTTTTTATTTGAAAACTCACACTTTTCTGTGAATTAATCATTAATCATGTAGATGTTCACTAAGTCAAGGGAACACACATCCTCCTGATGATTTTTTTTTTAAAAAGTCCATTTTTCCCCAATAAAATGTTGCGTAAATGAAGATTAAAAATGTGAAAATGACATCAGTGTTAGAAGGTATGCAACTATAATTTCGGCATCTGTCAGAATATGAGAACTAAGACTAGTGTGTATGTGTGCAAGATAAGGTAGATGAAAATCAGATTTTTTTTCCCATCTCTTTTTTTCAGCAAGCAGTGAACAACAGCTTCCCATTTTCTTCTCATGACAACAGACATTGTTTACAGAATGTAGGAGAATATTTTGATTTTGTAAGTACCCAGAATTGAGAAAATCAGAAAGTGCAACTCTCTCAGTCTGCCAGGAGATTAAACACAGCATCATTTTTCTCCCTTGCAAACATTGTAGATGCTCAGAATTGTGAGAAGACAAAAGTGTAAACAACAAAGAAACACACCCTTCATTAGTATAGAGATGTGACTGCTCTAGGGCTGGCACAGGTGTACAGCAGTACAGATCATCACTGAGAGGGGCAGCATTCGAGGGGAACAAAAAAGCCTGTGATTTGGGTCTCTTATAGGCATCTTGAAGTGCTTCTGTTTGGCAAGGCTTAAGATGATTTTGCACCGAGTAATATGCTCTATCACTCTGCTAAAAGTGATTGCCTTTGCATTGAGCTTTTGTCAGCCACTCCTGAGTCAGTCACACATACTGGTTCACTCACCTTTATCAACAGTTTAAACAAAATTCATAGGACACTTGAAATATTTCTCCTGAATGTATTATTTTCCAGTCCACATCTCTTTGTATCTATGTTGCAGAAGCCACAATATTGAATGGTTTTTTTTTATGTTTGGCTTTTCTGTACATGCAAGTTTCATGTTTTTCAGTTTTCAGTCCAAACAACGTCATTTACCTAATTCTTTGTTACTCTGAAGATTAATCTAGCTGATACTTTGAGTATATAGTATGTTACAGAAATGCAAAGTATAAGTGATTTATTAGTAGTGATAGATGGAAAGTCAACGTGTTTCCCTTTATGTATGGAGCCAGCATTGTTCATACGGGCAAATCAGGCAGTATTATTTTTGACTTGGTAAAAACTGACCATGAGTTCCTGAAATCAATGTGGTAACAGCTTCATTAACTTCCCGGTGGGGTAGGGACCGTTGCAAGATTCATCTGTGAAACTATCATCCTAAGTCATATGTTTACAGGAATTTTTCTTTCAATCTTTTTGTAGGGTTTTGGACGGAAGAAGGTTGAACCAGAGAGAAGGCAACAGAACTCACAAAACTTCTGCCTATGGGCACACGAATCTGTTCCTAGCAGTGATGATGGCTTTACCATTTATCAAACATCATTCATGAAAGATCAAAATACTGAGCAGCCATTCTGTAGGCGATATCCAAAACACCACTTAGAAAAGTGTTACGCTGACAAAGCCATTGCCGAGGATGAAAAAAACCTGCAGCCAAGCAAGTCATGTTAATTCCAAGAGCACCTTTTCCCTGGATCTGAACTACTTATCACTCAAACACATGATGAAATAAACATTTGTGTAAAGTGAATGTGTTAGTACAGTTGAGAGTTCATTTGAAACTAGCAGTTATGTAGATTTCTCTGAAGACATGCATTACAATAGCAAAAATTAATGAAGAGCATTATGAGGAAAAGTGTGCTCGTACATATTTTTAGAAACAGCTGTAGTAGAAGAACAGAGGTAGTGACTATACTTGTGTTCATCCTAGTTGATCCTCATCTTGATATGAAAACTGCAACTTCAGAGTCAATGGCATGGCTGTAGTCCCAAGGAGTTGACAGTGTCTGTGTTTACAGATGTATTTACTGAACTGGATCCTTGAGGATTCACCACAACAGGGAGCCAAAACTCCATATTGAGGTATGGAATGAACTGTACTGAAAGGTTTTATGGGTATGAAGGCAGGTTACTAGCCATTAGGGAAACTAGATACCAAAGCCACTGAGCAGTAGATTGCTGTGCAAAAAAACTGTAATGTTCAGTTTTAACACAGCAGTTGTATAAATAAACAAAGGATGCTGCATACAGTGTCTGCATGCCTGTACAATAATTTTTCAAGTGCGTGTGTGTGTGTGTATTTAGGCATTATTCATAGTAGTAAGGCAAGAAAAGGCTTAAGTTGAAAATGGAATGTTGTGTGAAAGTCTGAGTTTAAGATGGATTGGATCTGGAAAGAACTAATGATTTGTAGTTACATGTCACTAAGAAAGTGAATTCAGAACCAATCCTCCAAACACTCTGCTTTCAGAATACTTACTGTCTTTAGAATTTGGAAGGTATTAGAGTCAGACCTCAAAATAACATTTCCCGCTTCTAAATCATTTCCATTAATATAAATAAAATAATAAACCAAACTCTGTCTTGAAACATACTATATATAAGCTTGTTGCTGTGCAAAATAATGTTGACTAAAAAATTTAAAGCATAAGTTTGTGTGATAGTTTACTTTGTTTACAAGATAAGGTGAACATAAATCTCTAACCCCTTGAATTCACTGTATTACAAGGTATGCCATGAAAATGGATTATGTTAAAAAATGACTTCTGCCTTACAAGGAACATGTATTTCTTTTTGTGCCAGCATGCAGTGGGTGACCTTTTTACGTGCCATCAAAAGAGACTGTATTAGAATACTTCACCGAACATGTCGCAATTTTATTAGCACATGCTGAAATAAACAATTTTTCATGACGATCCCTCTACTGAAGTTCTTGGGGTGCTGCACAATATGTGCAAAACATCATTAAACAATGTTAAGAACAGATAAAGCCAATTGACCTAGTGTTACTAAAAAGAATTACTCTTTTTCAAAGTAATGACAGCCTGCCTTGATGACTCTAGAATCAGAATTTCCAAAGCTTTAGCCAACAGTTTCATCTCCAAACTGAATCAAAACTAAACTGTTTGCCAATCACATGGTAAATGAAGTACCCCATGCTATTTGGCTTACTCAAGAGGGAAATCTTGGACCTCCATCAGAAGGAAGGAACACATTCTTGCTACATTGGTAATGTTTATCTGTGGTTTAACATTACAACTGGATATGGTGAAATAAATTACTCTAGTTTGTTATGCTTTAAAACTGCACTAGAAAGATTCCAGATTTCTCTCTTATTTTTTTTTTTCCCTTCTCCACGTTTTTTTTTTTTGCTCACATTTTGACTCGGGCGTGGATTTTTTAAAAGCAACTGTGAATGAATTAACTTTATGTTTTCAACAGTATTGCAATGAAGCTTCTAGAGGAGAAATTGAAGAGCTCATGAAATTTCTATGCAAACTTTACACTATAGTGTATATATACACAGCATATAGTATATATACTATATAGTGTGTGTGAATATACTATATACTGTGCTGGATTGAACAAAACAAGTGATTCCCACATATCACAAACTCTGGCTGTTTTTCTTTAGTAAGTAACATGAGATACAATACACTGAGTTTTGAAATGAATGACAAAGCCATATCTCGCAGAAAGTCGTAGCCTTGCATACTTCGGATAGAAACCATCAGTGTTATTTCATCTTGTAATAACAATGTTTCTTAGGAGAAAGCCCTACTGAATTAAACAATTTATTGCAGTATGGTTTTTTTTCTCCTCTTGGGGATTGGGATAGAGTGGAGGAGAGCTAATAACTCCCATAAAGGTTTCTCAGTCAGTACAGGAAAGCACTCCCAGCTAGTAGTTAGTTAGAATCAGATGAGTGTAGGTTGGCTCAGCACCATAAGCATACTTTGGTTAACTCCACCAAACACTATTCTACAGAAACAGATGGAATGCTCTAGGTTGTGGTTTGAACTGTTGCTTCTTTTCCATTCAGAACCTTTTAGACTCTCTGTCCATTTGGAGGGAAAACTGGTGATAAAGACAGGGTTGTTTTGCTTTTTTTTTTAAAGCACATGAGTTCCTTACAAAAGTTTCCATGAGCAGAGTTGCCAACAATTTGTACACAGTGAGAACCCCTTTGCAGAAACAACAGGCTTCATACGGTAGTCCTTCTGAACAAGCAGCTGTCTTATCCCTCTGTTTTTTCTCCTGAGCCTTGCATTGATTTAGGGTACAGCTTTAACTTCACTAAGCTGTGCAATTCTTAAGTTGTTTCTTTTGTGTTAATTTGAAAGCAGTTTCAGTAGGTTAGCTAAATTTAGAGAATTCAAGCAAAATTGATTAAAGAAACTTAAACCAAAGGTATGGGCAGATGGCTACAAGTTCCTTTGGTTCAATGAGTTGATACTCATCAGCTGAACCATGGTAATAGGCTAAAAGTGATCAAGTAATATGGCTAAGCTGAAGAGTGGCAACTTTGTCACTTACCACTCCATGCCCTGGTTTAACAGAGCCTACTTCTCAGGTTGCATTAGTTCAACTGTATTGGAATACAGTCCTACACTTGTGTCTGCATAGTTATATCCACATTTTTTTTTTCTGCCTTAGTTGCGGATTGTTGCATCTGGGAAAACTGTCTCACTCAAAGCTGCTTTCTCCTGGACCAGATGGCTTCCTGGTGAGCTAAATGTCGGCCCTCCTTTTCTAGCTGTTTCACTATACAGAATTTGCAACCTATGAAATACTTTTAACAGTCATTTGACCCGATGGACAAACTATTGATATGGTATAATAGCAGATGAGTTTGTTTTTGCTACAATGTGAGGCAAAAAACTTAAGTTTTGCCTTAATTTGCTGAAGAAGCTTGAGGTAAGAGGATGCTTAAAGCCTGAGCTGGCTATGAGGAGGGGTGGGCGGGAGGTGGAGTGTGGCTGCTGTTGGACCCAGTAATTCAATGGGAGTGCAACAGCTTGAGTTCCGAGTCATCTGCTGCTAATCAAATCACTCTGTGTTGATAATCAAATCACTCTGTGTAGCTCAAATGTTGTTGCTTAGCGTGTGCTCTCAAGGTTAGACTGAGTGAAGAAACTTGATCTAGATGTTGCAATGAAGATGAGTCCTATTCATCCCCAGGCTGCACAGTTATGCGGTAGCAATACTGCTGGAGATCTGTCTAAACCCAAAATTTGTGGTAATTTATGTACAGTGATATGGTTCAAGAAGTACAGTCTTTTTAGAGTGGATAATATTGAACTTCTAGAAATATTCCTATATTGGTTTAACTTTAACCTAACTAAATAAAATATTGGTATAACTGTAATGATACTAACATTGAACCAGAAGTATAGGCTTATATCTAACAGAAATGCTTATGCTGATAAGCTGTGGCTGTGCTGGCTGATAGAAATAGAATTTCTACTATAAGTAGAAACCGGGATTAGCTATGTCTTTAAACTGGAGTCCTTGCGAGCTTCCTTTCTGGTCCTTAATTTCTGCCTGTCTCTGCTGTGTTATCTAATCAGCACTAGCTGACAAAGCACGAAGAACCATTCAACTCTGGAATGAGAAAGGACTACGTAGGTCTGTCTCATCCCAAATTTCTTGTGTTAGGCTTTCCCCCCTCGCAAAGTATTAAAATAATGAGCTGTTGAAACATTATCTCTAGAATACTTAGTTAAAGGGAAGTCTATTCAGCAGGGAAGTAATCCTAAGTGACCTTAATTTGAAAGTCTAGCAATAGTAACTATTGAAAGCACCCAGTTTATGATTCCATCAGGCAGCTGTGTAGTATTTATGAAATGCATGTTGTCAGCTTACTCTCTCCTCTGTTCCGAGTTTGTTATACTTCAGTAATATTGACCTGAAAGTGAAATATCTCAAATTATCCTTTTTTTTAAATCTTGAGTACAGAAAGCAATGCAGTTTGAAATAAGAGGTAAGTTTCAGTCCAATAGAATCAAAGAAGTGTTGGTTGGAAGGGACAGCTGGAGGACATCTAGTCCAGCCTCCTGCTCAGGCGGGACTATTGCCAACACAGGATTAGCTCAAACCGTGGCTTTGTCAGATTGAGTCTCGAAAGCCTCCAAGGCGGGGGCTTCCTCAGCCTCTCTTGATGACTTGTTCCGGTACTGCAGTGCAGTCCTAGTGAACAATGTGTTTCTAATATCCATCCTGAACCTCCCGCTCTGCCACCCATGACCTTCGCCTCTCAGTGCATCACTTGGCACCACCAAAAAGAGTTTGGCTGCATCATCGTGTAACTGTGCTTCAAGCCGTCACAGGCTGCCCGTTTAAAATAGGTTCTATTCTTTCCTCTCTTCTTGCATTGTTTCAGGGAGAAGGTTATAGATTATTACATGCTGATGCAAATTTTCTTTACTCCTTTCTTCTTTTCTCATATCAAAGCCATTTCACATGCTTGGAATAGAATAGATGTTCATTAGGTCAGCAAGAGAAAGTGCATATATATACATAAATGAGCATGCTTCTCTAGCCCAGGGGTTAGGATACCCACCAGGGAGAGGGGGTTTCCTTGGTCAAGGTCCTTGTATGGCTGACTGTTAAATTTAAAATAAACATCAATTGAAGCAACGACTGGAACTCAGGTCTGCCTCCTTGGAGATGACTGCCCAAACCCTGAACTAGAGAAAGCTCTGTGCTTTCTTCGAAGCCCAATCAATATTTAACCATTTCATACAAAATGTAGCAGCTTTGACAGAGAGAGTACAGAATGGTCTCTTCTTGAGACTACTTAAAACAGCTCAGAAAATTAGTAGAATCTTAGGAATATTTTTTTTTTCCTTGCTGTACGATGTCTAGAAATAGTAAAATGACGACCAGAAAGTACTATACTAATAGTAATGAATTAGTCCTTACATTAGCCCCATGAAGTACTTCAGTAGTGGTACTCATTTTACAAATGACTTAATTGTAGCATGCTGCACTGAGGTTGTTTACTCAGAGTCAGCAGCAAGAGCCATGCCTATAAATGGAGGAGTCCTGACTCCTAGGCTTTTGCTGTAACCAGCACTTCTTTACCTTTGAATAGATTTGCTATATACTACTATTAGAGCTTCATTAGAGATTTTATTGCCTGCCAGTGTATTATTTTAAGAAACTAATGGCTATGTGTATGTTCTTATGATCCCCTTCAATACTCTGTGGAACGAGAGACAACTTTTATGACTGGAAGCATGCTATTTCCATAATGGAAGTGTATTTCAAATTAAAATTAACATCCGCTTAGCCTCTCCCATCCTTGCAAAAGTAAAGATCTGATT